CAATAATTAGAGACGAGAACGTACGTAATTGGTACGTCTCCAGAAAAAGAATCTTCTCCAGAGCGAGCAGCAGCAGCAGCAATCGATCGAGGCGATTGTCGTAGGAAAGATAAAAATATATTCAACGATTTTTATTGTCAACGAGGAGGATAATTGGGCGCGATTATTCGAAATAATAACCCTACCTTCGTCCAAGATGGAGTAGTAGCAATTTCCTGTCGTTCCCAAAGTACGGAGTTGTTGATTGAGTCACTACCTCTTTCTGTCTCGCCTTGGTTGGAGGAGAGGCGCGGTCGGCGGCCTTCGCAAAATGGCGAAACAAAGCCGCTTGATTGAGCTCGGAAACGTTCGGTTCGGCCGAAAGGAATTGGCCGCCGCCAGAGGCCTCTCATTACCACCCTCAATCGTGGTATACGTCGATATACATCGTTCGGTACATCACCGCGTTAAGAAAATGGGCAAAGTTGTCGAAGATAAATAAAATCGGGAAATCACGCGGATTTTCTTCGATTCTGTTTGATTTCGTGCCATGGAGCTCGAACAGAATGGGGTGTCTTGGTTATTTATGGTACGGAATACCAGGTTTGCGTTTGGTAAATGAGTTGTTTGATAGGAAAGGTGATTGGTATATGTTGTACGTGAGTTTACGTGGATTTTTAGATTCGTATTCTCGAGATATACTACGTGACGCGAAAAAAAGGTGAATGGTGAGTATGATTAGATGTAAGGAACTGTTGAAAAAAAAAAAAAAGAAAAGGAATAATAGATAGTATGGTGGGTGTAAGAGGTAAGTATCAAAAGGAGGGTAAGTATGATAGGTAAGTATATATATATATATATATAGGATTTGATAAAAATTGTGGTCGTTGGAAATATGAAAAAAAAAATTTTCACCAGTTTTCAAATTGTAGTCTTCGAATAGGAGATGGAAAAATTGGCGAAGAATTTCGAAAATTCCAAGAATTTGACGTCACTTCCAAAAATTGACGAAATTCTGAGAAAAATTTCTCGATCGACCTCCTATCGAATTATGTTCTCCTGATACAAAATCGCAAAATTGGCCAAAAATTTTTTTCATTCGATAAATTCGATGATTCCAGGAATTTGACGTCATTTCCAAGAATTTCGGAAATTCCAAGAATTTGACGTCATTTCCAAGAATTTCGAAAATTCCAAGAATTTGACGTCATTTCCAAGAACTGCCGAAAATTCCAAGAATTTGACGTCACTTCCAAGAATT